AATGGTGGTAGATGCGGCCAGGGCCTTGTTTCTAGGCGTGTACTTGGTACGAACAATTTACCACTTGTTACAGAAGCAAAGTTCAGAGTCACAGGGATTGCCAGCGAGCCATTGGTATCAACAGTTTATATGCTTCGAATACTTCTGCTGCAACTTGGCTCTCTTTCAGAGACATAGGCAACAGTATGTTATGAGTATAAATTGGCTTTGTGTTAGTTTAAGACACTTAATGTGAATGTTATTGCCTTATTGATTTCTGTTTAATAAAAAAGTGTTATCTTTATTATTATGTGTTCCTGGAGCAAATGAGGGATGTTTTTTTCAAAGATGAATAAGATTTTATAGTGAAATATAAAAAAATTCTAACTGGAAAAAAAAATACAGAAGAAAAATANTGATTAAAATGGTGGTAGATGCAGCCAGGGCCTTGTTTCTAGGCGTGTACTTGGTACGAACAATTTACCACTTGTTACAGAAGCAAAGTTCAGAGTCGCAGGGATTGCCAGCGAGCCATTGGTATCAACAGTTTATATGCTTCGAATACTTCTGCTGCAACTTGGCTCTCTTTCAGAGACATAGGCAACAGTATGCTATGAGTATAAATTGGCTTGGTGCTAGTTGAGGACACTTAATGTGAATGTTATTGCCTTATTGATTTCTGTTTTATAAAAAAGTGTTATCTTTATTATAATGCTTGTTCCTGGAGCAAATGAGGGGTGGTTTTTTCACAGATGAATAAGATTTTATAATAAAATTTAAAAAAATTCTAACTGGAAAAAAAATACAGAAGAAAAATAACTTAACGAAGAGTGTATGTTTTCTCTATAACTTTGCTATCCTAAAAGCTGCAGGGTTTCACGATTGAAGGGGAAAAAAGCAGAAAAGTCCTGAAATTTAGCTCCAAATGAAGAGTTTAAATTCCAACATGATTTTTGAATGTATTTTTGCACTCAAAGCACAAAACATCAGCAGGCTTTCCAGCTTTTTAATGTGACTTAAAGAAAGCTATAAAAGAAATCCCATACCATCATTTCAATTGGCACCAGGCACCTGGGGCTCTCCAAACTGATCCACCCTGGTTTATTTACCTGTGGTGAATTTTTTGCTACCTGTTTTACAGGTGATTAAAAGATATCCAGGTCTCTTGGGATTATCCTTATTGTATGGTACTTGACTAACCTAATAACTGGGGAGATTTTATTTGCAACCATTTTTGACTCGGATTAGCGTATTTTTCTGCATAGCTAGTAAAAGGAAGAAAAAGAAGAAGTAGAAGAGAGAGAGAGAGAGACTGTATATTTGTTATGGCTCTACAGTTATCTTATTAGCTAAGAATATACACATATAACCACGTTTTATTTTATTGCAAATCCTCATTGTATAAAACCCTTGTTGTTCCTTAGATCATAATATTATCCTGTAGAAGTTTGCCAAAAACAGTGTTTAACTGCCCTAGTCACTTATGGTGATATTGTACATGCTATCCAGGGTGGTCTAGTACAGGTGGTAATTTGGCAGGTGTGGGATGTTACATATATCTGTAGTAGGCAGTGTCAATAGCAGTAGCAAACTAACAGGATTTTTTATCTGGATGAGTTTCAAATTATGTTTAGAAGGTAACATTGTTCTATTCTGGTTTTCGATGATGGACAATATGTTATAAATATATTTTTCACATATTTGGATCTTTACATTTTGGTCTTCTCCATCCCCATTACCCTGTGTTGCGCCCCTTCCCCCCACTAAAATCCTAACTGGTAATTTGCTTTGCTTGTCTGTATCTATATCTCATTTGTACTGCACATGACAGAAACATAGAAATAAAGACAATCTGATTATCTTTCAACAATTCTGCCCACATCTATCTAAGATATAATGTTGCCATGAGATGTGTCTGTCAAATAGCTCAAATTGTACCTAATGTAGCGTGTAAAACCTCCATGTGAATACTGCCTCTTCACTTGGTTGGTTTGGTGGGTCTAATCAGTAGTACACCTACGTATCACATTACCTCTCATGACACTCAACAACACTCAGTGAATGTCTGCTTTATCTGTAACATCTATTGGGTACGTTTGATTTTATTTTATTACTAGATTTAACCCTCTTCTTGAAATTACTCTCATTGTTTCATCCATAAATTTTTTTTTGTTGATTACAGAATTACCCAATCCCATTCTCATCTCCTTTGATTAAAATAATGGGTCTTTTTTCATCATGTTTTGTCGGAGTTTGTTAAAAAGATTGACAGCTCTGTGAGCTTTCTTCTTATTGGATGATTCCACCTTCAGTTAAGGTGAGCAGTTAGCATCATACACAATTATTGTCGGCTTATACCAGTACGGGCTCACAAATATGGATTTTGTGGAATTTTTTTTTTTCGTTAGCAATAAATGGAATAGATGTTATTATGAGTTAAGATCTGCTCATTATATCTGTGTGCAATTAAGTATAGTTTTTCAATATGCAGGTGCTCTTTGTCTCTATTATTATCAATCTGTTTGAGTAATTGTTGTGATGAGTCATCATGGACTTTGGGCTGCGTTCAGTTTGTTCTAAATGAAATGGTTTTCAAAATTCCTGAATATATTCTATGTTGTGTACTTTCTTTCTTCTCCCTGCTCATGGCAAATTTTGCTGATTGCTTGATGTTATGTTTACATGGTATGGAGTGATAGCAGTGAGGCCTTTAATTTCTGAAGTTACGCTCAAAGCGTTTTTGGTTGAAACTGTCCTGAACCTGATGGTTTGGTGATGATAGTAGTAGGACATCTGCTGAGGCAATTCAATTACTTCATAGCCGTTTTATGTCCTATGCTCCACTACAGGATATGTGTCATACCTGTCATTAAAAAAGTTGCTTTGTCAATACAAAACATTATAGATAACTATGACCTGTTATTTGAAAATATTGTCTCTTTTTATCCTGAATATGTATTTGTGCACGGTTGCAATTGCATTTCACACTCAATGTGATGGTTAATGTGTTGATCAGTGTTAGTTTTTACCTGAAGAATTATCATTTATTAGTTTTCAAGATAATCATGAAGTTATCCCAGATGCGGTTTACAGCCACATTTTGATAATAAAACAGTATATTTAATTTTTAAAATAAGGGTCAGTTTTGAGAGAAAAGGTTACTTTATCACCTGCGAGCTCATAATGTTTACTGAATGATTTATTATTCACATAAATATGTTGTATTATAGTTATTTCTTAAAAATGATAAGTAAGGTCACATCAATATGATCAATATTATTGATGAGGGTAAGGATCTTACTCTTACCTACTGGTATTCGGCTGTTATTTATTTATTTAATGATCAAGTCATGCAGGTGGTTGATGAACTTCGTGCACGGTATTCCCGTCACGTCACGGCAGTTATTGATATGGTGTGTCTCACCTGTGGTTGTCTTTCCTGGCATGTCATTCTCAGTAACCTCTGCGTGTAATGTCACAGAACAGATGGAGTAATGATCTCACTGTAGCAGTTTGGTAGTATGGTGGTGTGAATCTGGACGAAGTTTTGAGGATTTTAGTATTTGGGAAAAATGTTACCTGGAATGAAAAATTGGTAGGTGATGTGTATTGTTTGTATTGATTCTTATTCTGACACTCTCCTTGTCTCTTTCTTTCTTCGTCTGGGATAGTCACAGCATAGATATCATAGGTATATTGTCACAGGGTATATAGTATAATGATGTCCACAAACCTCTTTATGTACAGTGATGCCTATGCTTCCTACATTGTTCTGCTTCTGGTGTAAGAATTAAATGTGAGATTTAAGAGAGCCACCTCTAAAATTGCTGCCTGGAATGAAATGAATGATGGGTTAGATATTATTCTCAAAACTGTGTCATCTTTGTAAACAGTGCATTTGAAGTCAAAGAAAGCTGTTGAGATAATGACACATGTATGTCCCTGTATGTAGCAATATAAATTTCATGTTGAGCCAAAATGTTCATTAGCTTGGTAGTTGGATACTTTATGAAAACTTTATCAAACGTATATAAGTATTTCGGTTAGTGTTTGATAATTTTCATTTAGTAATTATCATGTTGTCGTTTACTATGGTTTTTTTATATTAAGATTATTTTGTCTGTTTAAGGTATAGAGGTATGGATTGCATATCATTTGAAATTAAGGGATAATTTTGGATGTGTGCACCATATTTTTCAATTCATATTTACTGATAGCATATGCAGAAATATTTTTGTACGTAGAAAAGGACATGATTGCCCCAAGACCTTTGACAAGAATGATCAGATCATAATGTCCAAATAATAATATATGGGAAAGTTGCTATATGAATGGTCAAAGGTAAAGAACAGAATAAAGGGATTATCTCGGTTATTTGTTTGTTTGCGTGCGAACTGTGTAGGCTTATTGACGTACCTGAAGGTTATATGAGGGTATTTCTTTCGGATTGTAATAGTTACATGTGATGACAAATTTGATGTTTTTCATTTGTTTGGCATTGCAGTGTGTGGGTGTATGTGTGTGTGTGTGTTTGTGTGCACACGTGTGTGTGTGTGTGTGTGTGTGTGTGTGTGTGTGTGTGTTAGTGTGTGTGTCCTATCTGTATATTTGAATGAGGAGAGAAAAAGAGCATACTCTTTCATCCTCACTTTTAAAAATAAATACCAATTATCATCTGAACAACAAACAACATAGCATTGAATACTATAAACTGTCTCCAACATTTATTGTATTTTATATCGTCACCACAGCTGGTGATATGTACTTAATAGCATCCTTTATAGTGTCTAGTATTTTAGCTGGGGGGCAAATGCGACCTAATATTCATCCCCACATCTCAGTGTCATAAGAATACATAAAACCCTGTTGCACAAGAAGAAAAACAATGAAGAGAAGTTTTGGGGGATCGAAGAAGTTTTCCCTATATAAACATTACTACCACTATTGTTTTTCATAGCTTTTTTATTTCATTTTATTCAAATGAAGGTTTGATGTAAATGAGATTTTTATTTATTTTTTAGTTTTGGCAAGCGGACGGCAGGATGTGCCCGTCGTCCCAACGAGTGCCTCATTCTGGAGCCGTCGGAAATGATTGTGGTAAGTTTATAAGTGTGGATTGTATATCAGCTAACACAATGTTATATATAACACAGTGTCACATCTTACACATTGGTACACCTAACACAATGATATATGTAACACAGTGTCACATCTTACACATTGGTACACCTAACGCAATGTTATATGTAACACAGTGTCACATCTTACACATTGGTACACCTAACACAATGTTATATGTAACACAGTGTCACATCTTACACATTGGTACACCTAACGCAATGTTATATGTAACACAGTGTCACATCTTACACATTGGTACACCTAACACAATGTTATATACCAACAACCTAACACTGTCACATCAAACATGATAGTATCCTAGCTGTCACATTGCCAAGCCTATCACTTCCCCACATATCATATTATCAAATATTCATTTCAAATACAGAGAGAATTACAAATTTTATATTTAAGAAAGAAATATTGTGTCCATGTCTCAGAAAACAAATGTAGTGTCTGGCAGAGTTTTAAGGCCAAGTTTGCAGAAGGAATTTACAATGATTTATTTAATCAGTGAGACATGTGCCCTCATTTGTAATTTACCACCTTAGTGGAGGGAAATAGACACAACATCTGCTTGCTTAGCAACCACTACACATTTGGCTGGAAATGTCATGAATTATTACTTAGCTGGTAATAAAATGAGAGGTGTTTGACACTGGGACACCATTACTTAAAGGAAGAGATGTATTATTTTTGGATAACTCATTGTCAGAGAGGTGGATTCTGTAGAAGGATAATTTATACATATGTTCACTTTATTCATTATTCAAGGTGGGATGCATTTCTGAAAGGAAAGTCAGGGCAACACTTATCTTTATTTGTTTGATTCATTACTTTTAATCTTGAGTATGCATTGATCTTGTTGCAATGAAACAATTTGTGTGGCTTTTTTTTCTGCTTCACAGGTTTTTTCCCTTTGGTAATATTTTTCATTTGTATTATCCAGTCAAGTTTGAGGGAATAGAAATCAAGCGTAATGGCTCCTATGTTTTCATCCATTCAGAGAAAAATNTTTGTGTTAGTTTAAGACACTTAATGTGAATGTTATTGCCTTATTGATTTCTGTTTAATAAAAAAGTGTTATCTTTATTATTATGTGTTCCTGGAGCAAATGAGGGATGTTTTTTTCAAAGATGAATAAGATTTTATAGTGAAATATAAAAAAATTCTAACTGGAAAAAAAAATACAGAAGAAAAATAACTTAATGAAGAGTGTATGTTTTCTCTATAACTTTGCCATCCTAAAAGCTGCAGGGTTTCAAGATTGAAGGGGAAAAAAGCAGAAAAGTCCTGAAATTTAGCTCCAAATGAAGAGTTTAAATTCCAACATGATTTTTGTATGTATTTTTGCACTCAAAGCACAAAACATCAGCAGGCTTTCCAGCTTTTTAATGTGACTTAAAGAAAGCTATAAAAGAAATCCCATACCATCATTTCAATTGGCACCAGGCACCTGGGGCTCTCCAAACTGATCCACCCTGGTTTATTTACCTGTGGTGAATTTTTTGCTACCTGTTTTACAGGTGATTAAAAGATATCCAGGTCTCTTGGGATTATCCTTATTGTATGGTACTTGACTAACCTAATAACTGGGGAGATTTTGTTTGCAACCATTTTTGACTCGGATTAGTGTATTTTTCTGCATAGCTAATAAAAGGAGGAAAAAGAAGAAGAAGTAGAAGAGAGAGAGATAAAGAGAGAGAGAGAGTGTATATTTGTTATGGTTCTACAGTTATCTTATTAGCTAAGAATATACACAGATAACCACATTTTATTTTATTGCAAATTCTCATTGTATAAAACCCTTGCTGTTCCTTAGATCATAATATTATCCTGTAGAAGTTTGCCAAAAACAGTGTTTAACTGCCCTAGTCACTTATGGTGATATGGTATGTCCATGCTATCCAGGGTGGTCTAGTACAGGTGGTAATTTGGCAGGTGTGGGATGTTACATATATCTGTAGTAGGCAGTGTCAATAGCAGTAGCAAACTAACAGGAATTTTTATCTGGATGAGTTTCAAATTATGTTTAGAAGGTAGCATTGTTCTATTCTGGTTTTCGATGATGGACAATATGTTATAAATATATTTTTCACATATTTGGATCTTTACATTTTGGTCTTCTCCATCCCCATTACCCTGTGTTGCGCCCCTTCCCCCCACTAAAATCTTAACTGGTAATTTGCTTTGCTTGTCTGTATCTATATCTCATTTGTACTGCACATGACAGAAACATAGAAATAAAGACAATCTGATTATCTTTCAACAATTCCGCCCACATCTATCTAAGATATAATGTTGCCATGAGATGTGTCTGTCAAATAGCTCAAATTGTACCTAATGTAGCGTGTAAAGCCTCCATGTGAATACTGCTTCTTCACTTGGTTGGTTTGGTGGGTCTAATCAGTAGTACACCTACATATCACATTACCTCTCATGACACTCCACAACACTCACAGTGAATGTCTGCTTTATCTGTAACATATATTGGGTACGTTTGACTTTATTTTATTACTAGATTTAACCCTCTTCTTGAAATTACTCTCATTGTTTCATCCATAAATTTTTTTTTGTTGATTACAGAATTACCCAATCCCATTCTCATCTCCTTTGATTAAAATAATGGGCCTTTTTTCATCATGTTTTGTCGGAGTTTGTTAAAAAGATTGACAGCTCTGTGAGCTTTCTTCTTATTGGATGATTCCACCTTCAGTTAAGGTGAGCAGTTAGCATCATACACAATTATTGTCGGCTTATACCAGTACGGGCTCACAAATATGGATTTTGTGGAATTTTTTTTTTCGTTAGCAATAAATGGAATAGATGTTATTATGAGTTAAGATCTGCTCATTATATCTGTGTGCAATTAAGTATAGTTTTTCAATGTGCAGGTGCTCTTTGTCTCTATTATTATCAATCTGTTTGAGTAATTGTTGTGATGAGTCATCATGGACTTAAGGCTGCGTTCAGTTTGTTCTAAATGAAATGGTTTTCAAAATACCTGAATATATTCTATGTTGTGTACTTTCTTTCTTCTCTCTGCTCATGGCAAATTTTGCTGATTGCTTGATGTTATGTTTACATGGTATGGAGTGATAGCAGTGAGGCCTTTAATTTCTGAAGTTACGCTCAAAACGTTTTTGGTTGAAACTGTCCTGAACCTGATGGTTTGGTGATGATAGTAGTAGGACATCTGCTGAGGCAATTCAATTACTTCATAGCCGTTTTATGTCCTATGCTCCACTACAGGATATGTGTCATACCTGTCATTAAAAAAGTTGCTTTGTCAATACAAAACATTATAGATAACTATGACCTGTTATTTGAAAATATTGTCTCTTTTTATCCTGAATATGTATTTGTGCACAGTTGCAATTGCATTTCACACTCAACTTGATGGTTAATGTGTTGATCAGTGTTAGTTTTTACCTGAAGAATTATCATTTATTAGTTTTCAAGATAATCATGAAGTTATCCCAGATGCGGTTTACAGCCACATTTTGATAATAAAACAGTATATTTAATTTTTAAAATAAGGGTCAGTTTTGAGAGAAAAGGTTACTTTATCACCTGCGAGCTCATAATGTTTACTGATTGATTTATTATTCACATAAATATGTTGTATTATAGTTATTTCTTAAAAATGATAAGTAAGGTCACATCAATATGATCAATATTATTGATGAGGGTAAGGATCTTACTCTTACCTACTGGTATGCGGCTGTTATTTATTTATTTAATGATCAAGTCATGCAGGTGGTTGATGAACTTCGTGCACGGTATTCCTGTCACGTCACTGCAGTTATTGATATGGTGTGTATTACCTGTGGGTATCTTTCCTGGCATGTCATTCTCAGTAACCTCTGCATGTAATGTCACAGAACAGATGGAGTAATGATCTCACTGTAGCAGTTTGGTAGTATGGTGGTGTGAATCTGGACGAAGTTTTGAGGATTTTAGTATTTGGGAAAAATGTTACCTGGAATGAAAAATTGGTAGGTGATGTGTATTGTTTGTATTGATTCTTATTCTGACACTCTCCTTGTCTCTTTCTTTCTTCGTCTGGGATAGTCACAGCATAGATATCATAGGTATATTGTCACAGGGTATATAGTATAATGATGTCCACAAACCTCTTTATGTACAGTGATGCCTATGCTTCCTACATTGTTCTGCTTCTGGTGTAAGAATTAAATGTGAGATTTAAGAGAGCCACCTCTAAAATTGCTGCCTGGAATGAAATGAATGATGGGTTAGATATTATTGTCAAAACCGTGTCATCTTTGTAAACAGTTCATTTGAAGTCAAAGAAAGCTGTTGAGATAATGACACATGTATGTCCCTGTATGTAGCAATATAAATTTCATGTTGAGCCAAAATGTTCATTAGCTTGGTAGTTAGATACTTTATGAAAATTATCAAACGTATTTAAGTATTTCGGTTAGTGTTTGATAATTTTCATTCAGTAATTATCATGTTGTCGTTTACTATGGTTTTTTTATATTAAGATTATTTTGTCTGTTTAAGGTATAGAGGTATGGATTGCATATCATTTGAAATTAAGGGATAATTTTGGATGTGTGCACCATATTTTTCAATTCATATTTACTGATAGCATATGCAGAAATATTTTTGTACATAGAAAAGGACATGATTGCCCCAAGACCTTTGACAAGAATGATCAGATCATAATGTCCAAATAATAATATATGGGAAAGTTGCTATGTGAATGGTCAAAGGTAAAGAACAGAATAAAGGGATTATCTCGGTTATTTGTTTGTTTGCGTGCGAACTGTGTAGGCTTATTGACGTACCTGAAGGTTATATGAGGGTATTTCTTTCGGATTGTAATAGTTACATGTGATGACAAATTTGATGTTTTTCATTTGTTTGGCATTGCAGTGTGTGGGTGTATGTGTGTGTGTGTGTGTGTGTGTGTGTGTGTGTGTGTGTTAGTGTGTGTGTCTTTTCTGTATATTTGAATGAGGAGAGAAAAAGAG